TGGACACAGTCCCATGGACACGGCGGTTGTACATGTTAATTGTGTCCAAGCGATTGTGTCTATTATATTATGCACATCCTATGCTCCCTACAAGTGTGTAACGATTAGGGGAGATGAGCGGAGACGAATGGATTACCCTATTGCTGCCAAGTAGTTTATTTTTTGTTTTCATTGTAGTTTGCAAATTGTAATCGGTTTGAGAATTTGTTCATTTTTATTGATTTTGTGTAGCTCTATACAAATTCACAGATCTGCAATTGAGAATTTTAGATGATAAATAAAAAGTAAGAAGTTTATTTCACAAAATCTGAGCTTTAACCAAATATGATGTTTGTGTAGATATCAGACAAGTAATCTCTAGGTAGCAAAATAAAAAAAATTATGATACTGAGATTACTACTTTGAAAATGCAAGAAACTATTCTGCTTGATCTCCAAATTTGATTTGATCATTCTTGAAGAAAAGATTTAGAAGTACGATTTTGAACCAATTTGAATGGTGATACTTCATTTTTGAGATTTTTTTCATTGTCCATGACGCTCTGTCCATCATACTTATATCCATATGTCGATACCGTTCCCATACAAAGATATCCAGTGTTTTGAGAGCTTAACTATTTTCATTTTAGAATATTTAAAAACTGCATCATACTTGTTATATTGTGTCCATTATATTTGTATCCACTGTTATTTTTCCATTATATTGTGTCTATATATGAAATGATTGATCAGAACCTGTCCACGCAAACATATATCTAACACTTGCAAACATATTGATTCTTAAGTGACCCATCCCAATGAAGTCAATTTTTATTAATTCATCCATATCACTTAATCCACATGTTACCATCCATAGCACTTAATCCACATGTTACCATTGATCACCTTTGTAATTTCAACCTTTAATCCATTGATGTCGAACCAGTAATTCTCCACTATGATCAATTCGAAATATGGCAACTTAATTGGAGAAGAGCTTACAATTAATCATCATAATTTTTGAATTCAATTGATGTTCTAGGATAATAAAGGAACCGTGAATTGAATCTGCAGAAAAAAAAAATTTGATGCTGAAACATATTAAGAAGTAGAATAAGAAAGAAAAAGAAGGAAAAAAAAGGAAGAAGAAGGCGAAAAAGAAAGAAAATACAAAGAAAAACAAGCAAGAACGAGGAAGATCAAAGAAGAACAATGATAGAAAAAGAAGGAAGTGGAGGCGGAGGCTACCACACCTGCCTTATCAACATCCAAAAAATTGTTAAGGGTTTTGATTGAAATTTTTTAATTAAGGATAAAATTAGTATTTTACAACCTACAAAATTTTTAAAATCCCTCAACAGCAGTAGCTGTCTTTAAGTGTAAACAAAAACTAATAAGTACCTATGAGTATAAATCACTCCAATTTCAACTTAATTTTTATAAATAACAAAATGGCACCTTACATATTTATTACATTACTATATAACCTCGATTGATATTAATTTATACAAACACATCTCTGCGTTAATTAAGAAGTGTTCTCAATTGGTAAAACCCTATTTCTTCTTCTGCCACCTTCCCTTCTCCTGTCTCTTGTTTCTCTCCGGTTTGCATGACTTTAAATTTATAAATTTCCTTCTGCTTCTCCTGTTTTGGAGTCAATTCCAACAGCCCTCAACCTGTAAAAATTTCAAACTTATTTTTCTTATTAATTGAGTGTGTGGTGTTTGCTTCTGCCTTTACTTTATTAAATGATCTTCTGTGCACATCAGGTGATGACCTATGATTCACACACCAACAATGTTATGGCAGTGGGATTCCAGTGGGATGGGAAATGGATGTTTTCAGGATCAGAGGATGGCACAGTTAAGATCTGGGACTTGAGGTGGATTTCTTCATGTTTGTTTCTTGTTCTTGAATGTTAAATAGATTCATTCATCCAAGTGCGAGTTGTGGTAAAGAAAAAGACAAGATATTGGATAAAAAATATTCACGGATTTTGAAGCTATGATTTGTGTTCTTGTTGTTGACTCGTAAATAAAAATGTAGGGCTCCAGGTTGTCAAAGGGGGTATGAAAGTGTTGCCGCAGTCAACACAGTTGTTTTACACCCAAATCAGCTTGAAAACTCATATGTTGCTTTTCTGATTGTTGTTATCACAACTAAGAATAGGACCCCGCTGTATATTAAAAATTTATTTGAAATAATTATAAATAAAATACATAAAATAAAAAGTAATAATAAAAAATATAAATATCCAAAACAACTTATAATTATAAGAAAAATATATCTTTCATATTTTTTAACTATTAACAATAAGTTCTAACCAGAAATATATAAACTGATTATGATAAAAATATGTAAAATTTTACAAAATTTTCTAGGATTGTTATTACTAATTATTAATAGAAAAAAATAAAAAACTAAAAATAATAAGATACACAGCTTTTTAAGAGTGTTAAAAAAAATATATATGAAAATATACAATATACAAATATGATATAAATATGCGATTTTCTATTTGTATAATTATTAAAAATCTGTATTCACAAAAAGTGTAAAGTGCAAAAAATATAGAGGCAATCTTTCAATTTTTTTTATAATACTGTACATTTATTATTAAAAAGTTAGAAAGAAAGATTTATGATAAAAATTTGATATTGTTTAAAAATACTACAAGAAATATATATAATAAAAATGTTATAATGAGATTTTATAATGTGTTTTCTAAGACTACTTTAGTTTCTAAAAAATATTCACAATATTAAAAAGTACATTTAAAAAAATTTGATACCTTAAAAATACATATATAAAATATATGTGAATTTGTTATATTACATAAATATATTTCTCTGAAATTAGAAAAATAATCCAAATATTAGGTACTTTAAATTTATAAAAAACTAACGAAAAATATTAAAATTTGAAAATAACACAATTAAATATAAATATATGGATATTTTTTCATAATAAAAAAATAAATAACATAATATATATAGGTAAACAAAATACATATCATTTCTTTATAATAAAAATATTATTACATTTTGGTTGGATAAATTTTATTTTTATGATTTAGTGCATATAAAACAATCTTGTAATAAAACTGTTCATATTTTAGCTAAAACTGGACCTCCAAATAGAATCTTTTTCTCTGATTCAATATCTGAACCTCCGGGACTTTTAAACACTTTGTATTCTGATAACATGTTATGATAAATAAATATGTTTACGACAAAAAAACTCCCACTATAGTAAAAAAGTAAAAGTTACACTCAAATAATTTTTTTTTGTGGTTTTGAGCAATATAAATAGTTTTGAAAAAATACAAATAACAGTTGTGATGAAAAATCGTGACCACTTATAATGAAAAGATGCAACCATTTATACTGAAAAGATGCAACCATAAATTTTGAAATGACATAACTTTTTTAAATGTAAGTGCATTTATTCAGATTGTTAACAAAAAAATAAATAACATAATATATATTAGTAAACAAAACACATATAATTTCTTTGTAATAAAATGTCATTAGATTTTGGTTGAATAAATTTTATTTTTCTGATGTAATGCATGTAAAAAAAATTTGTAATGAAACTGCTAAAATTGGACCCTAAAATAGAATCGTTTACTCAGATTCAATATCTGAACCTCCAGGACTTTTAAACACTTTGTATCCTGATAATATGTTATGATAAATAAATAAGTTTATGGCAAAAAAAATCACTATAGTAAAAAACTGAAAGTTAGATTCAAATGATTTTTTTCTGTGGTTTTTAGCAATATAATAGTTTTGAAAAGACACAAATAACAGTTTTGATGAAAAAACGCAACCATTTATAATAAAAAGATGCAATTATTTATAATGAAAAAACACAACCACAAATTTTGAAACAACACAACTTATCAAAGTGCAAGTGCCATTTATTCGGATTGTTATTATATATAGAAGTCTGTTGTCTTAAACTGATCTGGAACTTGGTGTCTAAGAAAAAGTCCTTGTAGGTGAAGTGGATAGATACGCACCTGTTAAAGGATCAATCTTTCTGGTCTTTAAAGGATAGCACTAGCTTGGGTTCTTGGATGTGGAAGAAATTGTTGAAAGGAGAGAGAAAGCAAAAACCTTCTGCAAAGTGGAGGTGAACAATGGGAACTCAACTTCATTCTGGTACAGTAATTGGTCTACTATGGGCACACTGTTAGATATAACAGGCCACCAGGGCATCATTGACATGGGAATTCGGCTACAAGCCACAGTGGCATCAACTTGGGAAAATCGTCTAAGGCGTAGGCATCTAGTCGCAATGCTGAATGACATAAAAGACATCCTAGCTGAATAGAGGACAAAATGCAGGGATATAGAGGATATTGTTCTTTGGCAGAGTAAAGCAGATAGTTTCAGACCAGCTTTCAGTTCCAAGGATACATGGCAGCTTATCCGCAAAGTCTCACCAGAGGTACCATGGCACATTGGCATTTGGTTTACTCATGTGACTCCCAAGTACTCTTTCTGCACATGGATAGCAATTAAAAATAGACTCCCGACGGGTGACCGTATGAAAAGCTGGAACAGGGGACTAAACTCTACTTGTTTTCTCTGTCAAGATCCTTGGGAAACTAGAGACCATCTATTTTTCGAATGTTCCTATTCCCCAGAAGTGTGGGAGGCGCTAACCAGAAAACTACTTGGCTCAAGATTTATGTGGGATTGGCAGTCTTATCTCCTACATCGCAGACAGGGGTCTGGAAAAGATTCATGGTTTCCTCATCCGCTACGTATTTCAGCTTACAGATGCTGGTGAGAGAGAAATAGGAGGCGGCATGGAGAAGATTCTACAACCTCTTCAAGCTTAATCAGATTCATCCACAAACGCATGCGAAACAGATTGTCGTCTATCCATACTTTTGGTGATAACTCGTCTAAGGAGTCATTCCAAGCGTGGTTTGCGGTGCACGGCTAACCTATGAGGAATCAAAATTTGGTTTTTTGATATTGTTTCTTCTGATCATTCTAATGTACGGGTTATAAAAAATGGGGTTTCTTTAAATTAATTTGACATATAATTCAAAAAAAGATAAACACATTACAAACTTTTTAAATATTAACTCATAGTTTTTCTTACAATTAAATATGAAAAAATACAAAATAGACTTATAATATATTGTCAATTAATCATATCATACCAACATGAAAACAAACAAACTATAGTGTTGCTTTATCTTTTATTGATTCGTAAATATAAGGGTTTTGTTTTGGAGAAACAGTAAAATTAATCGAGAGATCATAAGGAACCTTCTTTTGGACAAGGAAGTTTTATATAACAATGGCAGTAATGGTGTTCTACCCTTTTCCACAAAGTGTTTTCACAGTCGCAACGCTTATATGTTGTGTAACGATCCTTCATTTCAGCTTGACACTGTTTGTTTACATCAGCGGCACATTTTCCAGGATATATCATATGTTTCTTACAAACAGGAGTTAATCCATTGACTTTTGTATTTTTTAAGCAACCAAAACAAACAAAAAAGTTAATTGTAGATAAGATTTTAGCTAAACAATTGATACTCCTATATATTTTATAAATTTTGATTTTTCTTTATTGTTCAATACCGACTTTGTTTATAGAACTAATGAGTATTTACGTAACTTGTGAATATATAGAATCAAATGAAAAAAATGAATAATGTACCTTTCACAATGTTCGAAACGTGGAACATGAGAACGCATAAAACTATAACTGAAATAACACACTTCATGATTCCAGAAATTAATAAAAAGATTGTTTAAGTTAAATGCATAAACTTCTTCTTCTTCTTCTTCTTTTTTTCAATCGTGTGATAACTAGATGCTTTTTCTTTGTCCATACACGATTCATATGTATATTCATTACTCAACACGCACACACTAAAAATAGACCTCAATGTTATATTAGGAAGAGAAAAACCGTAAAATAGATGAAGAGTAAGGTGTGGCCAAGTCAGTGAGGCCGAGAAGATGGGTAGATTATTTTTGGTAAAAAATACATTTTCATTTTGTTGCAAGGATTGAGGATATTGTAAACATGTTTGGTAAATAGTCATTGTCTACTAATCCAGATGCAACCCAACTTGGGAAAAAAATCTGACCCAACTCAAAAAATAATAATAGCCAAGCTGTGTTCAGTAGGAGATTTCAATCTGTATATATCATCTAGTGCTATGCTTGTCTTACTGCAATTCACTTCTGGTCAGGGAATATATGAACTCAGTCAAGTACTCAGTCAAATATATGTAATCAGTTACTAGAGTAGAATCTGTGTTATCTTTATTCCACAACTTGGAGAGCAAAATAACATTTTACTATCAACATTAAATTACTTAAAATAGTAGTTCCTTTGTTTCGTTGAGACTATAACATAATAATTTTGAAGTGTATGTCATTAATCACAATGTACCTATCTTTAAACAAAAATTCAAATGGTTTGTAAGAAAAAACTTGGTATAGCAACGGATTTGATAATATCCCTTTGAGTTTCTCATATTATATGAATTTGTATGTTGTTGAAACCATTTCTTGTGGTAGCTAGTTAAACTCAAAGTTGGTGTTATGAACGATTCCTAAGACTTAAGTCACCTAACTAATACAACAGTTACCGAATTTGATCTATTTAATAATAATGTCTACTCCAAATCATTGCATCTCCCACTTTTACTTGAGATTCAATTTTAGGAGCATTTTTTTTGTATATTTAGTTTGTTTACTCTGGCCCTTGAGATATTTATAAACAACATATCATTAAAATGAAGGGATTGCAAGTGGTAACTTTGGCCAGTTTTCTAAATGATTGATTGCGAAGCAAATTACAGATAAAATTTAGCTCATAATTGTTTTTTTCCAATTAAAGAAAAATACAAAATAGACTAACAATACATTGTCAATCAATGATAATCAATAAAAAAAATATTTAAACCTTTGTCCCATATCTTTTATTTATTGGTAAATATAATTTTGTTTTCGAGCAATAGTAAAAGTAATTTAGCATTTTATCGAGACTACAAGAATCTTCGTCAACAACTACGGACAAGGAGGTTTTATATAACAATTGCAGTCATGGTATTCTTTATTTCTCCACCAGGTGTCTTTACAGTCGCAACGATTATACGTTATGTAAAAATCCCTCATTTCACCTTGACACTTCTTGTTTCCGTCAGCGCCACATTTTCCAGGATATCTCATATATGTTTTACATTTAGAATCTTGTCCATTCACTTCTATAATTTTCAAGCAACCACAAAAAAAAAATCATTTCAGATAAGATTTTAGCTAAACATTTGATACAACAATATTCTGTAAGTTTTGATTTCTTTTTTTGTCCAATACCGGTTTTTTTAATAGAAATAGTAATGAATATTTACGTAACTCATGAATATATAGAATCAAATGAAAAACAAAAAGAATAGTATATTACCTTTCACAATATTCGAAACGTGGAACATGAGAACACATAAAACTATAACTGAAATAACACACTTCATGATTTCAGAGATTAATCAAAGGTTGTTTACGTTAATTGTATAACTTTCTTGTTTTTTTTTTTAGTCTCGTGATAAGTAGATGCTTTTTCTTTGTCCATATACACATCATATATACTCAACACACACTAAAAATAGATCTTGATGTCAAATTAGGAAGAGAAACGTAAACTAGATGAAATAGTAAAGTGTGGCCAAGTCGTTGAGGTAGATAAGATCGGTAGTTTATTTGTTTGGGAACAAAAATTCGTTTTCATTTTGTGGTAAGAATTGAGAATAGTTAGAAAACCCTAGTTGAACATATCAACATAAATCATATAAAATCGATTGTAGCAACAATATATAATTTACTAGGTAATAAACTGCACCTTGTGCAGGGTGAAATAATTATTATTTATTTAGATTTAACATAATTTTAAAATTATATAATATAATATAATTAAATTTATATGAATTTTATATAATATTATACAATAACATTGACAATATAGTTTTTTTTATTTTTTATAAAATATAAGATAATTTAATTGTAATGTAAATTAATTTAAATTAATTTAAAAATTAAGTAGCATGCATAACATATGGTAAAAATATAATATTATCATACAAATTTTTTATATCCCGTAATTGATGATATGATTCATTATTTTCACCAATGTCCAAGATTTGGATATATAATATTTATGTACATATTTAATTACTTTTGACTCTTAAAGAATTAAATATTATTAGTTAAATAAATTGTTACTTATCTATTGAATATATTAGTTAAATTAATTAATAAATTTTCTTAGTCCCAAATTAGACTTGTTCAAAATATGATACAAATCAACAAGATAATATTTGTTTAGGAAAATCTATATAAATATATAACTATGATAATTTACTAAAATATAAATATATAATAGTTTATTTTTCTTAAAATTGAAATAATGTTATGGTTTATCTACAATTTAAAAGTGAATTATTTAAAGATATCATTAACTTTTAAAACAAATATAACTTTTAATTAATTTAATTAATAATTAATTTAATTCTAAACTAATAAATTTATAACTCTATAAATTAATAAAATAATAAAATCACAGTATTATCAATTTAAAAAAAATTTACAGTAATTAGATTGATTGATTTAAGACCGACAAACTAAAAAAAAACCTGAAAACATTTTGCTGAAAATTTGATACTGTATATGATAAATCAAACATTAATTAAAAAAATAAACAATTAATTTTGATATTACCTTACAAAAAAAAGTAAGCAATAATGCTATACACCATATTTGTCATCGAAGAGTTATATGTAAATTAAACCATAATGCAATATATCATATTCCTAATATATCAATTCTGAATATTAATAATATTTATTATAATAGTTTTGGAAATTCGTCATTATGGCTTTTTTTCTTTTAATTGACGTTTGTGACGAAAATAATATATATTTTTAATAGTATATTTTTGTATATATTATTATGAACTGTTAAAAGATATAAACTTAAAATATTTAGCTTGAAATATTATATATGTTTTCACAATTACTTTCATGCATACTATAATTACAATAATATGTGAATAAAATCATTATGGCATTCTTTTATTTGTTCTGATTGATTTTTGAGAAAGATAAAATATTATATTTAATTATTTTATTGTATTTATAAGAATATTTTTAAGAAACAATTAATAAACATATTTTTAAAAAAATTAGTTTACAATAAAATTATTATATATTTTTCTATGAATGATAAAAATAGTAAACATTAAAAAATATTATATATTTTATTATGTAATTCATAATAATATATATGGATAATATTTTAAAAATATTATATATTAAATTTCGTGTATATTCTAATTAGCATGAAACAAATTTTATTTTATTAAATTATTAATTCTAATATTGTTGTATTTGAATTCATTTAAAAAAATAAAACATAACATATCTATAGATCTATAACAACACACAATGGCATATCATGTAATTACTCTAGTAATCTAAGGTGGGGGTATTGGATTTAGAATTTGGATTGAATTGAAAAGAATTGAAGTTTCCATTAAATATCAGTGTTATTCAATGATATATTTTATCAATTCCTTTAAATACTTGTGTTATTGGATTAAGTGTTTTCATTAATTCTTTCAAAATCTTTTAAATATCATTGTTATTCAATATACTAATTTTTTAATTCTATTAAATATCTGTGTTATTCAATTTTGTAATAGTTTTGATTGTATTATCATTTGGAAGGAATTTAATAGAATCTCACCTAAAAATTGTTAAGAACCAATTCCTACCATTTATACTAGGATTTTGATAGAATTGGTTTAAATTCCTACAAAATACTTTAAATTACTTAAAAATTAATTATTTTTGAATTCTTGTACATTCTATCAAATTAAATAATCCAATACCACCCCCTAAATTTTTTTTTAAAAATAGCTGAGAATGAATATGAGATTGACACATCAGCATAATGGCATCACTGTAAATACTTACAAAAATAAAGTTATTCTTTAAAAATATTTTTTTTATATATAGGGGATAAGAAATTTTTTTAATATATAGGGGATAAGAAATTTTTTTTTGTTCAATTAAAAATCAATTATAGGTTTCGATTGTTGTGCATTGCCAACAACAACATTCATTTATAGAAGTTAGTACAATATCAAAACAAGTTAAAGAACACCTCAATCGTAAAAAATCATCAAATCGAAAAGCTAAAGATTGAAGATAATCACCACAAACGCAGTCCATCTCATCCATGTTGTCCTTTTCTTTGATTTGTTTTTTTTTATTCTTTTTTTTTAATGAGCAAGCCAAGAGTGGCTAAGCTAAGGTTGACCCTATACATATACGGGACAATTTGGTAGAAAGCCAAGTGTTGGGATTAAATTAAGAAAATAGCTAAAGGCAAATAAGCTAGAAGGAAATGGCTAAAGGGTGACGAACAGTGATTTGTGGAATTGATTATATACGTTCCATGCCATTGTGTGCGCGTGGTTAAGCGGAAGAATGAAGTAGGTGTTGAGGAGTATTAATGAGATTGGGTGGTAGTGCATCTGTGGACATTTATGGAGTGAATTAAGACTGATCTTGAGCTTCGTATTAAATGAGGAGACAAAAAATATTCGTCGTCGCCTTACGTAAGCATGATCTACAAGGAGGTGATAGTGAGTTAATGCAATTTGTAATGCTCCAACAAGATCGTCTACGGGTAGGGTGGAAAATGAAAATATCTCCGCACACCTAGGTTTATGGAATCTCCATAAATACTCGTTCATGCTATAGAGCTACATGCAAACAAATCGGGTAAGTTATTCTGAATCAGTTCTTACTATATATGAATATCTACGTGAGAAGTTAAAGGTTCGTTCTTATTAATAACAACATCTTCTTGGTTTTGGTATTCTTAGGATTATCAATGATGGTTCAACTGTGAGAGGTCCTGAGTGATCTGGTTCGCGCGGAGCAAGGGTGGTGGATGAAAGATGTCGGGGGGGTTTGGCGGTTCGTGTTGCTGGAGGACAGGCTTAGCAAAGGTTAGGGGTTATCAACAATGATGCAACTCTGGAAAGACCTCAGCGATCTGGTGCGGGCAAAACAGGAGTGGTGGATGAAAAATGCAGGGAGGTGTGGCGATTTGTGTTGCTGGATGGATATAAACTTGATGCGGGCCAGATATAAACTTGTAACGGGTTATTTGAAAATGATGGAGATTTGTAATGATATAAGTGTATTGTAGACGTCTATTAACATTAATAGAGTGCTATATTCGTCTCCCAAAAAGTTATGTTGTTCCATAGATTGTTATATTTATTCAACGGATCGCGTGCCCGTAAATTATATTATAGTGTGATATTTTCTTTCATAGATTTTATGTTGCTCCTATAAATATAATATATGTTAGTATATGAGGCTATATAGCTGTCTATTAATATTAGTGAAGTGTTATTAAATATGATGGACGATTATCTGAATGACTGCTAAAAGAACATTACATTGAAGAGTAAAAAAAGTTAAAGACATCTAATGTATTTAATGGATGGATTTTCTCAGGATTGGATCAAACAGAGAATGTCATATTGGATGTGGCATATAAGGGAGCTGAACTGTATTTGGGGCGTGTGTTCAAGAACAAACAAGACTGCAAGGTGAAGATAGCATCTCCATGTGATCCACCTTGGGGTCATCTACTTCATCGGCCCATGCGAAGGCACTTTGGAGGGTTCCATCGAATTCGCCTTCGAAGGCCACCTACAAAAAGACACCCACATACTGATTTATAAGGCCACACACTCAAACTTAGACATCCATATATTCGGGTATCTGATTACATTGTTGGAGATCTATAACATAAGATATAGGGCTACCCGGGTTTGTAATAAAGTTACCTGTCTGGAAGAGTCGAAATCCCAAAGCTTATCTAGCTAACCATCGGAGTGAATGTGCATATATGCATGTGAAGATCTGGTTTGGAGATCTAAGATTTTGTTTGAATTATTGAAGATCTGGATTCAAGACTTAATATTTTGACACTTAGGTGATATTTATGAGAAAATCTAAGATTAAAAAATAATCCAAATGGGGAATCACTTGCCACTATCGATTGAAATAACGGTAAATCACCCGAACAAGATTTGGCTCTGAAGAGAAAATGAAAACAGAAATCGGAAGAGTAATCCCACAACGAAAAAAAATTACAGCCAATTCACAATTGAAGACCAAAAACAACAAAGAAGGAGGGCGACGATGTTCGCGGCCCTAATTCGGGGTAAACTGAAATGGGATTATGCGTAGAGGAATGGGAGTTTGGATTACCTCAATTATCAGTTGCTTGCGTCCGTGACTCGGAATTTCAACGGCGGAGATGATTTGCTACTCGGGTTCAGTTCTAATCGGAGACTGCTGAAAATCGGATAATTGGCCTTCGACAGCGAGGAATAGGAACAGACTAAGTGGTCCGGCCAACGGAATAGGCGGGGATGAGCAAATTGCTTAAGCAGAGGTATTTTAGTGGTCGGAGGCGGTTCGAAACGGGGGTTGCTGGTAGACGTTTAATTCGCCTTCGA